TGTGTGTGTGTGTGTGTGTAGGTGTGTGTGTGTTCTTGACAGGTGTTTATATGTCTGTGGACAGATGTTGTCAAAGTGACGGCATCTCAACTGTGTTGTACAGACGTGTGGATCAAAATGAAGGCCAAGTTTTATAAGATGAGTTTGATCTGACTCATGAGTACGGAGTACACGCTTGAAGTAAAAACTACTGACTACTCATAATAAAGTAGTAACTACCGAGTACCCCTTGTGTGTGCCAGTCCTTCCTGAGTGAAGCACGATAATGCTGCTTCACAAGCAGTTACGTTATTGTTTCATCAGAACAGAGAACATTTGTCCATAAAGTACGATCTTTGTCCTCATGTGCAGCTGTAAACTGTAGTTTGGCTTTTTCATGGTGGTTTTGGTGAAAGGCTCCTTCCTTTCAAGTTTAATCAAAACAGGCGGGGGCGTCACAACAGCAACAAAATCAGAGGGGATGATTATGTCAGTCCACTGCATTGACATTTTTTGAGAATCCCCCTAAATTCCATGATGGGGTATGTGCAGGAGACTGTATGGACACCAGGGTCATACACCCCGGTTTGGTTCCATGTGGGGCCCCCAGGTGAAAGACGGTTGAAAGGTTCACCTCTAATAGACTGAAATGATTTACACGTGAGAGGAACAGAGTTGTTTTTCACATCAGAAGTTTTAAGGTTGAGTTTTACTCTTGTGTTGAATCTAACGTCAGTAACAACACATTTTTCAGTCCAGTATCTCATAATGTCAAAGTTGTTCAGGTTTATTGCAAACTACTAAAAGTAAATCCAAAAAGTAATTAACTGGGATGAGTGAGACAAACTGCTTCATCTATTCAAAATAACTGTTCACTCAACATTTGGCTCACAGTGGTTAGATATGACGATCTGGTGGAGACTGAGAGAATCTAAAAATCTACCACAGTAAAACATTTGTCTTATTTTTCATTTCTTTTTTCACTTCTCATCCTCCCTCCCACCCTCCCTCTCCCTCTCTCCCTCCATCCCCTCCACCACACCATGTGTGAAGCAGCCAACTCCAAACCCCAGTTCATTTTGAAAGGAGACTGGAAAACAAACCAGAGGGAAAGAAAACACTGCACACTCTCTCTCTTTCTTTTTTCCTTTTTTGTGTTTCTCCTGAGGAGTCACGGCTTCTAGACGAACAGAGTCGCTTCAAATGTCAAGACTCAAAATAAACTGAACTCTGGGGGTAAAAATAAAGTCGCTCCTCAGCCACAGGGGAGGCACTCTCCAAAATGTTTATTTACACTGTCAGATAAAAAGGCATCAAGCCTTTTGGGCTTATTAGCATGTGTTAGTGCACAAGATCTGATGGTCTCACCAGGCATTTCTACAATTGTTGCCTTAACAGGGTTATTCTGAAGGAGTATCTACATTAAAGTCACCTGTAAGTGTATTAAAAGAATCTCTGGAGTTCACACAACTGTAACTGGTAAAAGGGAAAAAAAGTATAAACTATCCTGACCTACTGATTTAGGGACTAGTCCAAAAATGACTGAAAGACAATAAAACTTCACACGCTCCATGTGGTAGACTCTGCTGTGAACTTGATGACTTTGAAAATCTCAGAATGTTGGGATGATCTTTGCCCTCTGTGGTCGTCTGACAGGCTCCTGTCTGAGCTCGGTTCCCCCAGACTCCATCAGTGGGCTAATAAAACCCAAGTGCTGCCCTCCTTGTCATCCAAGTTCACAGAAACACACATGAACTAAAGTACTAACTAGGTACAACTCACCGCTGAAACCATTCATCAGTCGTCAGAGAGCAGAGACACTAAACCTGGAAGAGACTGAAGGACTCTGAGCAGAGTCTGAAAATCATCTCAGAGAATATAGTTTCCCAGTTTCATAGCTGACAATATAATTAAAATTATTATTATCGGATACATGATAAACACATTTAATATTAAAAATGTTAAGTAAATGTTTGTACTTAGTAAGTAATTAAGGTAGAAGTACTCAAAGCAGATACATGTCTCCTTCAGTTTTATATTATTACTTGTTATATTTTGTGCCGAACGATGAGCCAGACTGATCCTGTCACACCCACTCACACACTTATGCCAAGCAGATTGTGTTTCTTTGTTGGGTTAAGTTAAGTCTGTGAATCAGAGGTTTCCAAACAGACCAAATAGATGCAGCCAGGAGCCGGCGATGAAAAAATATTTAGAGAGAGCATTTTATCACCAATGCTGACCAGTAAGGGCTGATCTGTTTGCCTGAAGCATTACAGTAGTAACCATGATGATGAGTTTTTAAATTATCTTCACAACAGAAACCTGTATCTATATGATCTTATCAAAATGATTAACACCATTAAAGATTTATAGGAAACTAATCCACAAACATATAAACACAAAAACAGAAAACATCCCAACAGTCTTTTGATTTCTTCCACAAGTTTTCACCCTAAACATCTCACATGAGAAACAAGCTGAAAAAAGAGACCCCTTCATTTGCTCCATATGTTGGTTTAACCCCTGATCTTATCACTGTGCATCTTTAAATTCTGACTAAACTCCGAGTCCCGTTTTTTAAGAAACCACAGTTTACGCCATCATTCCCTCATGTACTGTCAGGCTTAGTGAGAGAGCTACTGAAAATTAGCCCAACTTCGTCCCGATCCTGCAGTTCGAGGCGCCGGCCAGCCACGACTTGGACTCAGAAGAAAAGCCATTCTCGCTAAATGCTTCTAATCACATGTCAAATCTGCACATATGCTTTGGAGTTAGACCTCTTAGATACACTGGATGTCATTAGGCGCTGAAATAAGATCAATTTGTCCCGCACCATGAAGAAGTTTATGATTTAAGCTCTTGGGGAACTGTTTGATGGGTTTAGATGTCATGTAGGAAATTATTGACTGAATTTAGAGCTGAATTTTTGGAAGCTGGATGTTCATGTCTTTTCCTCAACTTTTTATTCATTAATTTATGAGGCACTGCTGCCATTGACCTCAAATACAGGCAATTTCAAACGCAACATGGTGAGGAAGAGTGCAGTGTCCAAAATGCCAAAATAAAGAAGAAGAAATAAGAGTGTTAAAAGAATGAATGATGGATGGATGGATGGATGGACGGAGGATGTATGGAGTTCCTATAGCCAAAAGTTACATGACTGGATAGTAGCAGCCTGGACAGCTGACAGGCCATGGACACTCCACTGGTTCATGAATCGGTACATTAGTCAACACAAATGTTTTGGACAGA